GGCTAGTGCAAGATGAGTAGTGGGGGGGTTTTAAGAGGGTTGGAATAGTTTTAAAAATGCAGTATTAGAATGTGGGGGAGAAGTTTGTGGTTATAGGAGGGTGGGGGCAGGAGGAAAGAGGAGTGATTGGTGGAATGATGAAGTAAAGGGTGTGATAAAAGGAAAAAGGTAGCTTATGAGAGGGTTTTACAAAAGCAGAAGTGTTATAAGAAAAAGCAGAGTATATGGACAGTAAAAGAAAGGTGAAGAGAGTGGTGAGAGAGTGGAAAATGAGAGCAGATGATAGAGTGGGAGAGGCACTGTCAAGAAATTTTAATGAAAATAAGAAAAAAATTTTGGGGTGAGTTAAACAAGTTAAGAAAGCCCAGGGAAAGTATGGATTTGTCCCGTTAAAAACAGAGTAGGGGGTTAGTAGATGGGGAGAGGGAGGTATTAGGTAGATGGCGAGAATATTTTGAGGAACTTTTAAATGTTGAGGAAGAAAGGGAGGTGGTAATTTCATGCACTGGCCAGGGAGGTTTTACCATCGTTTAGGAGTGAAGAAGAGAGAATGTAAGTGTGGTGGAGGTACGTGAGGCATTACGTAGAATGAAGGGGGGGAAAGCAGCTGGAACTGATGGGATCATACAGAAATGTTAAAAGCAGGGGGGGATATAGTGTTGGAGTGGTTGGTACTTTGTTTAATAAATGTATGAAAGAGGGGGAAGGTCCTAGGGATTTGGCGGAGAGCATGTATAGTCGCTTTATATAAAGGGAAAGGGACAAAAGAGATTGTAAAAATTATAGACGAATAAAATTTTCTGAGTATACCAGGGGAAAAATATACGGTAGGGTTATATTGAAAGAATTAGAGGTAAGGGCAGAATGTAGGATTGCGGATGAGCAGGGGGGCTTCAGAGTGGGTAGGGGATTGTAGATCAAGTGTTTACATTGAAGCATATATGTGGACAGTATTTAGATAAAAGGGAGGGAAGTTTTTATTGCATTTATGGATTTAGAAAAGGCATATGTAGTGTGGATAGAGGAGCAATGTGGCAGATGTTGCAAGTATATGGAATAGGTGGTAAGTTACTAAATGCTGTTAAGAGTTTTATGAGGATAGTGAGGCTCAGGTTAGGGTGTGTAAAAGAGAGGGAGAATACTTCCCGGTAAAAGTAGGTCTTAGACAGGGATGTGTAATGTCACCATGGTTGTTTAATATATTTATAGATGGGGTTGTAAAAGAAGTAAATGCTAGGGTGTTCGGGAGAGGGGTGGGATTAAATTATGGGAAATCAAATTCAAAATGGGAATTGACACAGTTACTTTTTGCTGATGATACTGTGCTTATGGGAGATTCTAAAGAAAAATTGCAAAGGTTAGTGGATGAGTTTGAGAATGTGTGTAAAGGTAGAAAGTTGAAAGTGAACATAGAAAAGAGTAAGGTGATGAGGGTATCAAATGATTTAGATAAAGAAAAATTGGATATCAAATTGGGGAGGAGGAGTATGGAAGAAGTGAATGTTTTCAGATACTTGGGAGTTGACGTGTCGGTGGATGGATTTATGAAGGATGGGTTAATCATAGAATTGATGAGGGAAAAAAGGTGAGTGGTGCGTTGAGGTATATGTGGAGTCAAAAAATGTTGTCTATGGAGGCAAAGAAGGGAATGTATGAAAGTATAGTAGTACCAACACTCTTATATGGATGTGAAGCTTGGGTGGTAAATGCAGCAGCGAGGAGACGGTTGGAGGCAGTGGAGATGTCCTGTCTAAGGGCAATGTGTGGTGTAAATATTATGCAGAAAAATTCGGAGTGTGGAAATTAGGGAGAAGGTGTGGAGTTAATAAAAGCATTAGTCAGAGGGCAGAAGAGGGGTTGTTGAGGTGGTTTGGTCATTTAGAGAGAATGGATCAAAGTAGTATGACATGGAAAGCATATAAATCTATAGGGGAAGGAAGGAGGGGTAGGGGTCGTCCACGAAAGGGTTGGAAAGAGGGGGTAAAGGAGGTTTTGTGGGCGAGGGGCTTGGACTTCCAGCAAGCGTGCATGAGTGTGTTAGATAGGAGTGAATGGAGACGAATGATACTTGGGACCTGACGATCTGTTGGAGTGTGAGCAGGGTAATATTTAGTGAAGGGATTCAGGGAAACCGGTTATTTTCATATAGTCGGACTAGAGTCCTGGAAATGGGAAGTACAATGCCTGCACTTTAAAGGAGGGGTTTGGGATATTGGCAGTTTGGAGGGATATGTTGTGTATCTTTATATGTGTATGCTTCTAGACTGTTGTATTCTGAGCACCTCTGCAAAAACAGTTATAATGTGTGAGTGTGCAGAGAAGGGGTTACTAGCCCCTTGCTCCTGGCATTTTAGTCGCCTCTTACAACACACATGGCTTACGGAGGAAGAATTCTGCTCCACTTCCCCATGGAGATAAGAGGAAATAAACAAGAACAAGAACTAGAAAGAAAATAGAAGAAAAGCCAGAGGAGTGTGTATATATATGCTTGTACATGTATGTGTAGTGTGCCCTAAGTGTAAGAAGAAGTAGCAAGACATACCTGAAATCTTGCATGTTTATGAGACAGAAAAAAGACACCAGCAATCCTACCATCATGTAAAACAATTACAGGTTTCCATTTTACACTCACTTGGCAAGACGGTAGTACCTCCCTGGGCGGTTGCTGTCTACCAACCTACTACCTATATTATTATTATTATTAATTATTATTATTATTATTATTATTATGATTATTATTATTATTATTATTATTACCATCGACATACATTGTTCACTGGGTTTAATCTTAAGACACCATGAGAGACAGAGAATGTAAACACACACATGAACACACCAGCTAACCCCTTCATTGTGAACTTCTTATGTATTTCCATTTTTTGTTGCTGTTCTTCCTCTTTGCACAATAAATACTCACCTTTTACCTTACATTAGGACTACAAATATTTTAAGGTAGGTAATGAGCATACTGTATATGCATTGTATGCTACAATAAATACTACTCGCTTCTCAATCTACACTAAGACTACAAATATTTTAAGGTAAGTAATGAATGTACTGTATGTATATTTTACTTTTTTATTGTTTTCTGTATTATGTAAGAGTTATGCAGATTAACCCTTTCTCTGTCGGTGTTGTATTAGTACAGCTTACAAGCCAGTGTTGGTGTCGTATTAATACGCCAAAATTCTGGCTGCTTCCAATCTTGCAGAAGAAAGCTGGTAGGCCTACATATGAGAGAATGGGCTTGAGTGGTCAGTGTGCGCAGGGTAAAAAAAATTCTGCAGCACGCAATACATAATGAGAAAAAAAATTCCGACTCTGTTTATGGTTGAAAACAGCCAATTTGCGGTGTATTTTCATATGGTATTTATAGTTGTATTCTCATTTTTTTGGTCTCATTTGATAGAATGGAAGATATATTACTGAAATAGAGATGATTTTGGTTGGTTTCACAATGAAAGGTACCTTGAAATTGAGCTCAGTGTAGTGTACAATATTATGTAGGGGGTGTGAGGAACAGTGGGAGTTACCATAATACTGCTCATTTTGGCAGGCTCTAAAGAGAAGTTGCAAAGATTGGTGAAGGAATTTGGGAGGGTATGTAAAAGAATAAAATTAAACATGAACATTGGAAAGAGCAAGGTGATAAAAATAAAAAATTTAGGCACTAAAAGACTGGCTATCAGAGTGGAGTGAGAAAATGTGGAGGAAGTAAATGTATTCATATATTTAAGAGTGGATTTGTTGGTAGATGGGTCTATGAAGATGAAACGAACCATAGAATAGACAAGGGAAAAACATGGGTGATTCATTGAGACATCTGTTGAGATGCAAAATGTTGTCCATTTAGGCAAAAAAGGAATGTACCAGTATAATCGTACCATCACTGTTACATAGGCGTGAATCACAGGCTTTAAACATTGCAGTGAGGAGGGGGCTGGAGACAGTGGAGCTTTCACATTTGAGGACAATATGAGGGGCTTGAACATCCAATAGGCTTAAGTGAGTATGTTAGATCACTGTGAGTGGAGGCAAGTGGCTTTTGTGACCTGATGTACTGCTGGAGTTGACCAGGGTAATATTTATGATGGAATTCAGGGAAACCGGTTAGCTGAACTTGAGTCCTTGAAGTGAAACATCCAGTGTATGCATTAATCATCCCCCCGCTTCTTCAGAAGGGGTGAGGATGTTGCAGTTCAGAGGGCCATCTAAACTGTGATGTTAACACACATTTGGCAAGACAACAATTGAATGATGGTGGATGCATTTCATATCTTTGTGAGTCGCCCAACATCTGTGGGAGATGGAAAGTTTGTTAAATATGAAAAAAAATTATTCAAGACATCACTAAGTAGCACAAGAGGCCACAGTTCTAAACTACTGAACAAAAATGGTATGGAAGATGCAGTAGGAAGTTCAGTACAGTACTTAACAAATAATGTGGTACTGAAATATGCACAAAAAGAAGGAAGCATGCACAGGTTATTCAGAAATTTGAGCTGGGGGTGTGAAATAAGTCCACCTTCCTTACCAGACCCCAGTTCAAATCTCAAAAAAAAAAAAAATCATGGATTGTTACAAGCATTCATTACATTTTCATAGCTCAGAAAGGAATATATACCAGAACTTTTGGAAACATAAAAATAGTACCTTGGTGTTAGTCAGCTGTTGTAAGTCTATACCTGAGATAGGGCCAGACTTCAAAATGAACTGAGATTAACTCACAGCTATTACCCATTAAATTCAACTCTGTAAAAAAAACTATAAAGTAGATAGGCGAGCACAAACATAGCTCTTTTATAATTCCCCCCCCAAAAATGAAAGGTAATCATGTGCACTAACTCTGGATTAAGACCAAGCAAGTGTTAGATAAGTTAAGAAAGTAGAAATAATTTAAATTACTGTATATAACTACAGTACAGCAAATGCATTCAGCTTTCTCATTAATCTTCTTTTTACATAAAGGCCTTATACATGTATTTGTATATTTTCTTTAGGTCTTGTGAGCCCGTTGCATGCCATTTGTTTTGCTGCTGTGTGTAGCACAGCAGGCATTGGTTTGCTATACTTGGGAACAAATGGAGTTGCTGCCAGCCTTGGCACTATAAATCTGCTCCTGTACACCTGTGTTTACACCCCCATGAAAAGATTGAGCATTGTTAACACATGGGTGGGAGCTGTTGGTGAGTATTAATTCATTTTCTGATTTCTGTATTATATAGAGCAGGCATGATTAATAATATACTACAGCAAACGCTCAGAGTTCCCTATCACTGATGTGTTACACCAATTACAAGAATTTAAATTTTAATGCTAAGTGTTGTATTAATATACAGCCTCTCCTCACTTCTCGTTACCAACCTCAACAGAACACATGACCATAACACAAGGCACAGATCACTCTTTGATGTTCCCCGTGTGCATCTCACACTATGTAAAACTCAATTTACATAAAAGGCCCAAAAGTCTGGAATTCATTACCTGTGAATATAAAAGAAATACTGTCTGTTTATCAATTCAAGACTTCTTAAAAGCCACTTACTCAACCACAACTAAATAAATACTGAAAAACTATATCTCATAAATGTATAACCTGTGACCCTATCAAACTATGTTTTTTTAATTACATTACCTAATAGAATACTCCATTCTCTTGAATGCACAGTAACTCATCTAATGACCATATGACCTGTTTCTGCACTACAAATCATTGATTTTACTCGATTTGATCGGATTATATTACACATTGTTATGCTACAAATTTGTACAACTTTAATGCTTCTTATTTGAAATACTCATTTGTACTTCATGCTTTAATTTGTTTACTGTAATTTTTACCACTGAATATATCATTGCTAGTTAATCTTAAGTTAATTTTAAGTGTTCCCATAATGCTCTGCATACAAGGGGCTTTTGGCATGTACACCCAATCACTATATTTCTTTGTACAACTATGTATCATGTCCAGATAAAAAATAAATAAACAAATGATGGAGTTCCGTTCCTAAGACCATGTTGGTAAACAAATTTGTCGCTAAGTGAGGAGCATACTGTAATGGTAGTGGGTTTGTGTCATCCATCTTTGATATTGTTTTAATGTCACCTTTGCACCATATATAACATTTCTGGCATATTTTTAAATGTTTATACAGCAGTGTACTGTATATTGTAATAAACAGAATAGAGGAAATCAGCTCTAATATACATTTTTTAGGTATGGATACTGGTCAGAGAGCTCATTGTAAGTCCAAGTCTTTGGTAAACGAGTACGTTGCTAAGTGAGGAGAGGCTGTATGTATTATAAAAGCCATCATCTTATTATCATTAGCCTTATTTTCCACTTTTATGATGTGAAAAGGCAAACACCAAGAATGAATAAAATGTATTTCGTTATAAATAAGAACATATAGTAACATCCAGCCTTTATGATGTGGAAAGGCAAACACCAAGAATGAAGGAAGATGTATTTCATTATAAACAAGAACATATAGTAACATCCAGCCTTTCATACCACACTCTAATACCACCAAACCAGCAGAACATTCAGTGGTATTCTATCTTTTTCATTGTTTAAGAGTGAATTGTTACCACAGTGAATTGTAAAGTTTTTGTTACCTTTTAAGAAACTGCTGTGTCTTCAGTGTTCTTCATATGCAGTTTTCTCATACACACCTCTTACTCACCTGGTCAAGTGAAATCATTGAAGGAAAATGGCTAAGCAGTGAAAGATCTACTTATGAAAAACAGAACATGGTGGATGGATGGTGGTGTGGTAAGGGTGAAAAAGGGTCTAAAATAGATTCTGAGAGAGAGAACCTTGAAAATCCAGCAAGCATGACTCCTGAAATAGTAATACAGCTTCTCGTCACTTAGCAATGTGCGTACTTGTTTACCGACGACTTGGACTTACAACGGGCTCTCTGACCAGTATATATACCTAAATAATGTATATTAGAGGTGATTTTCCTCTACAGTGGACCCCCGCATACCGATGGCATCACATAACGATTAATCCGCATACCGCTTGCTTTAATCGCAAAAATTTTGCCTCGCATACCACTTAAAAACCCGCTCACCGATTTTTGTCCGAGACGCGTCCAATGTGTGCCCTCAGCCAGCCTCACATGTGCCGCCGGTGGCATTGTTTACCAGCCAGCCTCCGCGGTAACATCCAAGCATACAATCTGAATATTTCGTATTATTACAGTGTTTTCGGTGCTTTTTCTGGAAAATAAGTGACCATGGGCCCCAAGAAAGCTTCTAGTGCCAACCCTACAGCAATAAGGGTGAGAATTACAATAGAGATGAAGAAAAAGATCATTGATAAGTATGAAAGTGGAGTGCGTGTCTCCGTGTCTCCGAGCTGGCCAGGTTGTATAATAAACCCCAATCAACCATCGCTACTATTGGTGGTACAGCTGCTGCTGCTGCTGCACTGTCAGCTGCTGCTGCTGCTGTAGCATCGTCTGCTGCTGCTGTAACATCGTCTGTTGCTGCTGTAGCATCGTCTGCTGCTGCTGTAGCATCGTCTGTTGCTGCTGTACCACCGTCAGCTGCTGCTGCTGCTGCTGTAGCATCGTCTGCTGCTGCTGCTGTAGCATTGTCTGCTGCTGCTGTAACATCGTCTGTTGCTGCTGTAGCATCGTCTGTTGCTGCTGTACCACCGTCAGCTGCTGCTGCTGCTGTAGCATCGTCTGCTGCTGCTGTAGCATCGTCTGTTGCTGCTGTACCACCGTCAGCTGCTGCTGCTGCTGTAGCATCGTCTGCTGCTGCTGTAGCATCGTCTGTTGCTGCTGTACCACCGTCAGCTGCTGCTGCTGCTGTAGCATCGTCTGCTGCTCTGTAGCATGTCTGTGCTGCTGTAGCATCGTCTGCTGCTGCTGTAGCATCGTCTGCTGCTGCTGCTGTAGCATTGTCTGCTGCTGCTGTAACATCATCTGTTGCTGCTGTAGCATCGTCTGTTGCTGCTGTACCACCGTCAGCTGCTGCTGCTGCTGTAGCATCGTCTGCTGCTGCTGTAGCATCGTCTGCTGCTGCTGTAACATCGTCTGTTGCTGCTGTAGCATCGTCTGTTGCTGCTGTACCACCGTCAGCTGCTGCTGCTGCTGTAGCATCGTCTGCTGCTGCTGTAGCATTGTCTGTTGCTGCTGTACCACCGTCAGCTGCTGCTGCTGCTGTAGCATCGTCTGCTGCTGCTGTAGCATCGTCTGTTGCTGCTGTACCATTGTCAGCTGCTGCTGCAGCTGTAGCACCGTTGTTGGTGTGGCTTATTGAGAATACCAAGAAACAATTAACCCCAGAGGATTTGCCACCCAGGATAACCCAAAAAAGTCAGTCTCATCGAAGACTGTCTAACTTATTTCCATTGGGGTCCTTAATCTTGTCTCCCAGGATGCAACCCACACAAGTCGACTAACACCCAGGTGAACAGGGAAAAATGCCTGGAACTAGTGCTCATATTGGTGAATTTAACCCTTTCAGGGTCCGTCCCGTAGATCTACGGCTTTACGTTCAGGGTCCAAACCGTAGATCTACGCCATGAGCTCAGCTCACTCTGATAAACTGTGAGTGGTACATTTGGGCCTAGATATGAGAGAATACATCTATGTGGTATGTGTGCACCACATAAAACAGATCCTGCAGCACACTGTGTATAATGAGAGAAAAAAAATGAAATCATGATTTTTCGATTAAAACAGCAACTTTGCAGTGTTTTTTCGTATGTTTTTTATAGTTGTATTTGCGATTTCTTGGTCTCATTTGATAGAATGGAAGACATATTACAGAAATAGAGATGATTTTGATTGGTTTTAGCATTGGAAATGGCTTGAAACTGAGCTCAAAGTAGCGGAAATGTTAAATTTTTGCCGATATTCAAGAGTAAACAAACGACCTCACAAGTCTAATACACGTCAGCTGGTGGGTCTAATATACATTCACAAATATGGTGATGATATTTATACAATTATTACAGTATTGCATAACAGTAAATCTTCTATTTTTTGGTGTGAATAAAAATTCATTATGTGAATAAAAAATAAAAATGGAATTTATTTGTAAAGCCTCAAAACATAACTAATGAACAGAGGATATGTTAGTTTAGTGCCAGGAATGCCTACATTGTTCATTCTGGACCCTATTTTGAAATTGGAATATTTTGAACTTTGTGTTAAATTGGCCAAATTAACAATTTCCGATCACTTTATTTTGTAGTTGAAACAGTTGACTTGGCGATTTCTTGTGCTCAATCGATAGAATAGAAGTAATACTAGTGAAATAGCTAAGAATTTGGTTGATTGGAATAATGTAATTGGCCTAAAATGGGAGTCAAAGTCAGCAAAATCGCCGATCCGTAAATATCGCTGACACATCAAAATTCGCGAGAGCATAATTTCGTCAATTTTCCACCAAATTTCGTACTTTTTGTTTTATTACCTTCACAAAAAGATTCTCTACGATTTCATAAGAAAAAATAACAAATTTTTTTTTTGAAAATTCTTGGACACTGGTGCGTGACTCCAGATTTGGGCCTTGGACCCTGAAAGGGTTAAAGCCAGCAAAGGTTGGTTTGAGAGATTTAAGAATCGTAGTGGCATACACAGTGTGATAAGGCCTGTTCTGGAAGAAAATGCCAAACAGGACCTACAGTACTCAGGAGGAAAAGGCACTCCCAGGACACAGTGTCTCATCAGTCATTGCTGCATCTTCAATAAAGGTAAGTGTCATTTATTCTTCATTTAGTAGACTAGTACATGCACAATATATACTGTGCATGTACTACTCTACTATTGTGCATGTATCCTTCTCTTTGTGTGTAGGAAAATGTATATTTCATGTGGTAAAATTTTTTTTTTCATACTTTTGGGTGTCTTGCACGGATTAATTTGATTTCCATTATTTCTTATGGGGAAAATTCATTCGCATACCGATTATTTCGCATAACAATGACCCCTCTTGCACGGATTAAAATCGCTATGCGGGGGTCCACTGTATTCTGTTTATTGCAATATACAGTACACTACTTTATAAACATTTAAAAATATACCAGAAATGTTATAAATAGTGCAATGGTGACATTAAAACAACATCAAAGAGGGTTGACACAAACCCACTAGCATTATAGTATGCTCCTCACTTAGCAACGAATTTGTTTACTGACATGGTCTTAGGAACGGAATTTTGT